TAATTTATTTTGCTTGAATTGAGCCACAGGAAATTAATTATGCTGCCATAGCAGGACTCTGAAATAAACATTGAACGTTGTATTAATGCCGTTCTGGGAAAAAGATTCGGTTCAATCATGAAATGGTATATTCGAAAATTTGTTGAATTATAAGTAATTATAACAAATATTTGTCCAATTATAACCCAACTCGCTCCATTCTCCTGCATGGGAGCAGATGTACACATGCATGTTCGTGTTTGCCAAATACAATAAAGTCTGAAAAGGAAATTAATCCTGATATTGATGCAGATTTGTAGAAGCAGGAACCCCCTTGCTGGTAAATGGTATGGTGAACGGTTAATACGTATAATAGCAGTTACGCTTAAATATTAAAAGTAGGTACGCTAAATTATTGATGTGATTACAATTTTTAAGAATTACAAGTCATGAATTCGGCTTATAGGCAGTAGTGAAACGCACAAAACGTCGGTTTACTTAGTAATAGCATGGTCGCTTCGGTTTCTTCTCATTTCCCTAAGTATAGCTATAGGGATGGCGGATACTTAAGCCTGCAGCACACGAGAGCTATCAGCTGAGCTAGAGGTTACTCGTGCCTGTTAGCTCAGGCGACAGCTCACCGTGCGCGGATAGATTTTTGTGAGTTTTCTGCCACTTGCAACCTTTTCTCGCATATCAAACATGTTTGATCAATATATTGATGAGGGACGTTCACAACTGAACCATTGTTCATGAATAATAAAGTGAAACAACGAATGCACATTTTGCACACAGACCAACATACGATCTAGGTCACAAGAAGGAAATAAATCATCACAGTTAAAAAGAGCATACTGATTAGTATAATTGCCAAGTTTGGTCGCAAAATGTCAGGTGTTACCGAAAATATAGCCATGTAAAGACTAAAGTATAGCCAATTTTGTATACTTTTTTTAGTATACGTAGTGTCTGAAAAAAAACGAAACTATTGAAGTCTCCCATAACAATGTAATTTTTAGAGTTTGAATGCCTGAGCACTCTGTTGGGACCCACAAGTGTATACATGTTTGTATGCAAAAATATTTATTAACCAGATTTACAATTTGTTCTTTGTCGAAAAGCGTCTCGCACTTCCGTTGTACTTTGGATACGCGCATAATTTATCACAATAAACACTCGTTGGTCCGCATTCAGCTGTACCATTTTCTTTCGAAGCAATAACAAGGCTGAATTAAATTTAATCATATTCACAATTTAAATTTTTGGTATCTAGCATATTATAAGTTACATTAAATCCCCACGGGCTAAAATTTAACAATGAGTGATTTCAATAGTTTTCGTTTTTTTTGAGACACCCTGTAGTACGGCTGGAAGCTAGCGCTTTACTAATTTAGCTACACACTTCCGGCCGTAGTAAAAAAATTGCCAAATTCGCATGGCTATAGTTTCCGTAGAATAATCTGCAGCCAAACTTGGTAATTGTACTAAATTTAAGCATCTAACCAATAATCGGCTAGGATCAAGGCCTATATATTTTCAATTGAAGTGACAGAACGGGTGCATGAGGGGCAAGATATTGGCTTTTGATGTATTGAATACGAGGAAACACAGTTTGTCGAAGAGACTAATTAAGTTGATGCAGTGCAAATGACATCATCAACTTATATAGGCGAGGTGAGGAATGAAATCAACAAATACGCAGGAAGTTCAAATCTTCCGCCCACAAATCATCCGATAGAAGCAGTTTTCTCCTCTCCTTACCGGCTATGCCAATATTTCCTAATTTCCATGATTACTTGCGATATACTTTTCAAAGAACAAATTATATGATAATTATTATAATTATATTTATTTCTATCATGATTCTGGAAGTGGAATAGCATTTCCAACAAAGGTAGCCGATTCGAATTTCTTGTCGAATTAAAGTGACAAGGTAATAATGAAATATTAGAAATATCAAACAATGCATAAAAAATTGTTATTCTCAAACTGTTGACGGCTTGCGCATACGCAGCAATCTAAAGACGTGTTCATGTCGAGTGGACACCTTGCGCTTTAGACTAATTTCTTACCTCGGTGATAAAAAGGACATTTTTTGAAAGAGCTTACTAAAATAAGTTAAACTGCCAAGTTTGACTGCGAATTGTTGTAAAATACGGAAAATATACCCATGCGAAGTTGTCGATTTTCGTATACTTTTGTATTACGACCGGAAGTTTGTAACTAAATTAGTTACACATTTCCACACGTAATACAAAAGTGTACAAAATTTGCAACTTCGCATGGCTATATTTTCCGTATTTTACAAAATTTCGCAGCCAAACTAGGCAGTTTTACTAATTTAAGTAAGATCTTTCTAGATGGGGTGATTTATTTTCTTCTTGTTACTTCGATCAAAAACTAGTCTAAAGCGCAAGTCGTCCATTTATTGCCCAGGTTTATTTTGCGATTGGTTACCGTAGAAGCTGTAAAACCACTCGCTGGTTACATAATGTCCTGACAAAAATGTGTGGTACACTGCATGATCATGAAATAGTATTTCGAAAATATTGTGTATATGTTAACAAATTTTTACCGGTAATGTTAAGCACATAGCGTGGAGTTATTTGTTAGAATTTCTTCGCACACTCGCTTGTGTCACTTCTGTATATCGTATACTCATAATACGATGTCGAAATACGACGTTGGTTGAAGCGAAACCGGAAGCCTACTTTGTAGTTAAACAAGGTCTTTGTTGAGCACCAAATTTATTCGTTTCTGTGAGTGGGCGTGTGGGATAGTCTACCGCCGGTCTACGACCTCCTTTAGGCTTTACTTTTAGGATCAATATACTATATAGTCCTCATAATACTCCCATACTTTTAGGAATATATTATAATAGTCCTTATTGTTTGATAGCTCGCTGTCACTGAGATTATGATTATTGCAGTAATATAGAAAATATGAGTACAACGTAAATTTGTAGCCAAATGCACTCATTTTTACGATATTTTTTTTAGGTTTTCGTGTGAAGTATAGGTATATTTGCGCCATAATGCCACCTTTTTATGTAAAAATGGCCCAAAATCATAGGTTAGTACCCCTATGCCTGTGCCATTAGAAATCAATATAAATTCTTATTAACTACAAAAGTATATAAAATATATTCGTTTTGAATTCACGACGTTCGTTCTCCAAACACTTCCCTACAATCGATGCCGAATAATTTGGTGCACGAGTACATATTGCCAAATTCACGAGCAAAAAGAACAAATTCTGTTTTAGCAAGTTGATAAATTGTCATATACATATTTGCATATGTTTTACAAATTTACACATGATTATTGGCTCTTTTACTGAAGAAATTTGCACTGCCCTCATGCGTAGGGGAAAAGCTCGCAAAAGCTCACCGCACACTAGGGGAACATGCTTACGCTAATATCCACGAATAACTTTTAGCTCTGCAGATAGCTCTTGTGGGCGGCAAACCTAACAAAGAATTACGACTAATTACGGCACAACATGTCAAAAACCCTACAAATTTTGCGAACTGGTATTTTCGATTTATAAGTTACTTTTTAGATATACCCAGTAAGCAATTAGAAACAATTTAGACTTTCACTCACTGTGAACATCGGCACAAATTCCGAGTAATGGGGAAGCTGTCGTCATTTTAGAGTTTCGCATAATGTTCAGGCATGCGCAGCAGGCGAGATATGTCAACAAAGAATTGATAAAACACTATGTTTTCTGATTTTAAGAACAATTTATTAAAAAAAATGAACAGGCTGATTCCCTATTCTAATTCTATTCTAATTACAGCTACAGTTTTTCCCAGAAAACGCTAGTCTTAATACACCTACATTAAGAAAATCCACTTACATGCATTGAGTGGGACATAGGAATTTTTTTATTACTGAACGATGATACTGCCAGACTAAGTAGATGCAATTATGGAAAATCTGTTAAACTAGCGTTTTTTAGGACACCCTACTTATTCCCAATTCTAGTTCTATGGTTTTGAAAAAGCGTAAATGAAATAATTCAATTAATAGTTTTGCTAAATGTTGTAAAGTTGGCAAAAACTTCATGTATGTGGTCCTCCTTACATATTACAGCTCTTTGCTTTTCCTGGCTCATGCTCACATCCCTCAGATTTCTTGTTTCCATACTTGTCAGTGATCACCACTCTTAAAACATCTGTACCTGGGTAACTCCAACTACCAAATGCGAACAATTCTCTCTTGGACCCAGACAGCACCGTCGTCACATCTTGGAAGATTTCCCGACCATTGCTCCATTTCGCAGAGTATTTTCCCAACAACTCGAAGATTGCTTTCCATTTGTACTCCAAGTCCTGGACAGTTCTCAGAAGGTTGATGGTGATTTCAGTGTCTTTCGGTACTTTAACGGAAATATCCGTCTTATCCGTTGTCGTGTACGTTTTCGTCGTACTGGATTCGACATTAAAAGAGGATGTGGACGTGACGTCAGTTGTGAAGGTGCTTTTCGCTCCCGCACCAAGTAGTCCTGAACTGACTTCTGTAGATAATCCAACTTTTACCGCCAAAGAGAATCCTGAACCAATCTTGAAGGTGGATGAAGTTGTGATCGATGTCGTAAGCCATTTGGTGCACTTGTATGAATTGGAATAAGCGGAGCATATGACAGGACGGAAACCTTTGACTGGTTCAGGTTTGGCGACGTTCAGTGACGATTTATCTTCGATGTTGAATTTTAAAGCATTGAGCGCCAACATGTTGGAGCGATCGGAAATACTTTTGCATTTGTATGTGTTGTTATCCGCAGATTTATCCATCGCATTCATTGAGCACTGTTTAAGCTGTCCGGAAGTATCTTTAACTTTTATCACAAAATCTGGTTTATTCATCCACGGATCTCCACTGTAATTTCCCATTTTGCAGCATTTAAACTTTTCCAGGCAAAATAATTTGTTACATGAGCTCCTGTATAACCCCGCCATGTAGTATCCTGGTTTGCACGTGCTCCATCCTTGGTCATGGAATAATTTCTTGACATCTTTATTGTAACAATCCCCCAGCTTTTCGCCTGGGACTTTGGTCGGCAGCATTTGGCCTGTTCGATATTGTATAAGTCATTTCCCGACGTTCTAAAAGCCCGGTCATGTAGCTGCCGTTATCGCAGGTAGACCAACCTTTGCGATCGAAACTTTTCCACCAGTTGTGGTTGTAGCAAACCTGATCGCCTGGTGATGAATACAGGTAGCCAGGCGCGTCTACACACTTTGCTTCTTCGAGGAGGTAAATCGGATCCTTTTCATGCTTTCTGTTTCTATACATCCCCGCCATGTACCTACCATGTCCACACAGTGACCAGCCTTTACGGTCGAACGATTTCCACCAGTTTGCGTTGTGGCTTCCCACAATTGGTTTAAGAAGGGATTTCATGTAATTCCTGTATCCAGCGTTTGTCTGCCACTCGTGACTTAGTCTACGAAGTATTTGTTTCGCGACATCAATGTCGCCAACGACGCTCACAGAATAAGCACTGGGTCCACCGCAGCAGCTTTGAGGTCCCTGACAGGACGACCACGATCGACATCTGCTGGTGCATTGACTGTCGTTCACTTTACTCCCTGTGGGATAGACATCTCCGCACTGGCATTGGTCCCCCTTCGTCGCGGTCAATACATAACCCTTATCTCTGCACGTTTCTTGACACTTTACGTTGGAGTTGTGACCCCCCATCCGTCTTGTCAGACCTGCGCCGGGAAATGAGGAATAGCATCCTTTAACGGCGTAGGAATTTACTGATCGTTTCTTCCGAGTTTTAACATCTCTCGTTGATATTACCATCGGTAACAAAACGGTAGTTAAAACAAACATCTTTAGACGCATTTTGAATCTCTAAAAGTAATAGAAACATGTTCTGTTGAATAAAGTTTGAAGAAGTTATTTTTAAGAGGAAGTCGTGCTTAAAACATATATCACAGTAATTTATTCTAATAGGCGACAGTAAAGATTCGGAATAAATGTTTGAAGTCTACAGAAAATGAAAATGGTAAAACAGAATAATTATGAAAATTTGACATTCTGAGAAACACGATTTCAATTCTCGGAAGACACGATTTGAAAATCACGACGATTCACTATATTTGATATTATAAATCGTTCCGGAACATGAAACTCCCTAGATTTTCGGGACTTTTTCATGCAGAATCAACCCGGAAGAATTGTATGTTTACTCAGGACCATGCAACGCCGGCCAAAAACTGTTCAGTTCCCCTCTTAGATGTGGTCAATACTGGGATAGTAAAAATATATGATGAGATCATGAGCATTGACCGAGGTCTAAATAATTCTTGACATTATGCAATAGCGGAATCCAATATTTGTTTTATTATTCTATACATTTAAAGATATCAGAAACGTATACGTATGAGACGATTACATGAAGTTTATCGAGACAAGCAAATCTGTATATATATATGAGCCAATGTTTTTATTTTCGTGCTCCTTCAGGTTCGAGTTCCTTTACATTAAGTTTGATGAGAATAAACCATGGTTTAGGAAGTCAGGAACGACAATACGCACAAAGTGTAACTGAATAATTAACAATTATTGGATGAGCTTGAGTGTGATATCGAGAATTAACGAGCCGAAGTTTGCGTTATTCGCCGAAGCGAAGCTGAGGCGGATAACGCAAACTGAGGATTGATAATTCTCGATATCATGCGAAAACGGAATTCAAATATTGTTTTGTTATGTGCTCCCTTTTTAGAGAGGAAGCCTGTGTAATTATTGACAACAAACTAGCGACAAAAAATTACGTCACCTATACTGATAATTTTCAATGTTGCGTAGGTGGCAAGATATTGAGAATAATCTAGTAGGTTTTTAGCCAATCACAATCGAGATTGCATTAGTAATGCATAATAATAACTGTTACAGCAATTAATAACACGACACAATGTTGCAATGGGGATGTTACAAATCAAGGGTCATTATTAAACAGGAAGTCCGCCTAACATCATGCATGCAGTCATTATACGTCAGGGAAAAACAACATGAAGGGTGTAAATTTTGAAACATCTCGACAAGGTTTGGGAAACATTTTGACATTAAAGCTTTGGAAATTGCATGGAATGAGGAGTTTTCGTATTTTTCGCTTTGTTGACCAATATAGCTATAGTGAATAAGGGTCCTATCGTTTTCGGCATGCAATTTTAAAAAAATCCAAAATACATCTGGGGCCGGTTGTATCAAGCCCGTTTAGCTTTAACTGCGGATAAGTCAAAATGAAATAACACTCTTACATCTCTCTTGAATGAGTCAACTTGAATATTATGCACTGAATATGTAGTTGTAAACAGTATATTTGTATTCAGGTAAAAAACATTTAGTTTACTTTTTGAATAAAACAGCAGACTTGCTTTCTATTTTGAACTTATCCACCGTTTAAGCTAAACCGGCTTGATACAACCGGCCCATGCAGTAAATTAGATCCTATCATTTTCGGCAGGCAGTTTTAAAAAATCTAAAATACATCTGCAGTAAATTAGATAGGTATATTAGCTTGGGTATATATAGAGCGCATTACCACACACTAACTCTAAATCAGTAGAAGTCATTAATTCAGTAGAAGGCATATTTTTTTGTCATTTTGCCAAATCATCTCTTAAAATCCACCATGCAAAAACATATTTTCACTGATTTGACCATGCAGTCAGATAATACAATCGGTGCTGTCGAAATATTTAATCGTGTTTTCTCGCACAGTTTATAGTTCTTTTAAAATCTTACCTGCATGTTCCCCTTGATTTCGGACTTCAGACTGCAGACCGTTGTTTCTTCAAATTTCTTCCTCGAAGCTTGTGATATAGTTGATCGTTTTTCACCAGTTCGTCTTTTCACGATGTTAGTGTAAGATTGTTTAAGAAGTGCAAATGATCATCAACTTATATTGGTGGGGATAACGAATGAAATTTACAAGCAAACAGGAAGTTCATCTTCCAAGCAAAAGTCAGGTGATGTTGACTTGCCGGATGAATTGTTAACGCCGACTAACAAATATATGATTATCTTTGCTAATTCTCGAAGTGCGAGTTGTGAAATGTTTATCAAATACTAGGAAAACACTGTAATTTCTTGTTGAGAGTGATAAGGCGCTTCGAAAATTTTGCAAGAAAAACTCACTGCTTCACATTTGTGCATTTCTGTTTTGATCTCAATTAAAATACTGCAACCGACAATTTAAAAAGTAAAGTAAAAACATATTCAGAATAAACAGGACATCTTGAGAGTCAAGATGTGAATCAAACGAGAATACTCCCCTAGCTGATTAAGAAGGCCCTCAGATCGAAACGTCGAGATGTGTTTTTGTCTATTTTATAGGCCTACGTTTGAAATCAAGACACAGGCTTGAGACTGTAAATTTTCGACTATATTTCAAAGTCATCTTCAGAGAGAATGACATTGCTTTTACTTTAAGTTCAAATTTCCTTTCGCAAAGTACTTTGAAAACACTCGACAGCTCATAAAACCATTTGAGCTGACAGCTCATGTACACTGCATGTACACTGCATGTACACTGCATGCTAGGTGAATAATTTACATGACTTTTCTTAATCGTGTACAAGCTTCAAATTTTCAATGCAAAACGCATTTTGCTTGGCATTTATAAATAACAAATTGCAGCGAAAGTCTATATGAATGCAAACCAATTTTCACGATGGCAAATGAAATATGAACTTTAATTAAAATAATAAAACAAACAATGGATATTGTTCATTTTCCTGTTGTTGGGTATTGTTCCTGCTGTTGTTCATAATTATTTTGCTGAGCTTTTATAAATCTTTTTGCTTACCATGCAAATAAGTGAGCATTTATATCAGTCGAGGGCTTCTTTAATCCGCGATTCTTTATTCATGAATGTAAACCAATTTCTGCTGTGCCTATACAATGAAATAATACGGAGTTTAGGATATACGATATAGTCAGCTCGAAATTGTTGATAACTTATTTTGCTTGAATTGAGCAACAGGAAATTAATTATGCTGCCATAGTAGGACTCTGAAATAAACATTGAACGTTATATTAATGCCGTTCTGAGAAAAATATTCGGTTCAATCATGAGATGGTATATTCGAAAATTTGTTGAATGTTTAATAATAAATAATTATAACAAATATTTGTCCAATTATAACCCAACTCGCTCCATTCTCCTGCATGGAAGCAGATGTACACAAGTTCATGTTCGCCAAATAAAATAAAGTTTGAAAAGGAAATTAATCCTGATATCGATGCACAAAGAAGTTTTGTAGAAGCAGGAACCCCCTTGCTGGTAAATGGTATAGTAAGCGGTTAATAATAGCAGTTACGCTTAAACATTAAAAGCAGTCACGCTAAATTATTGAAGTGTTTACACTTTTTAAGAGTTATGCATTAATGTTAAAAAGTATAAAACATTATACTAATAAAAATTTATAACTATTAAGATATACATTTATATATATATACAATCGAGTGATCATCAAAATATTAATAAACCTAATTTTAGGAAGTTCACAAATCAACTTATTCTAGGAAGTAGAAAATGAGTTCGTAATATTTACAAATTTAACCTACTATTATATCTATTAATTGCATATACAAGTGGACTACGACTGAATCTTTCAGTTTTACCTGGATATGGTTAATTTTAGAGTTTCTCTGGGTTAATTCTAGTTTCCTTGTCTCTCACCTCCGATACAAGATGTATTATACACTTGCAAAAAACATGCAGGAAAAAAATCCGACAACAGAAATAGTCTTCTAGCCATATTATTTCATATTTTTATATATACATAGAATATAGATATTTCTACACATCTAAATATAGAATATCAATATTTCTGTTGTGGAAACGACGTTTGTTCCTGGCGAGGGTGCGGCAAACAGCGCGTATGACGCTTTTGTTTGGAATTTGAATGATAATTACAGCAGCACTGGGGCCTAGCTGTTGTACACTAGTTAGCTTTCAACTGTAGTTAGGGACAGAGTTAATTAGCTGATAGCAGAGTCGTGAATTTCGGAATTAACTGATATTTCATCTGAATGCTATTTGAACAATTAACCATTTTGAAAACTGCGCAGTCATTTCTTAGTTGCTCATCTAGGGCGGGTTGCTTAAAGCTTGATATATACATAAATCCAGTTAATAGGTTTATTGTTAATAACGTACGCGTCAACCCTTTACATGAAGATTTATTACCTAACCATGTAAACATCGGTCGAATTTTTTCATCAGTAGATTCGGCTGATCTTATTAAGGCTGACTGCTGCAGGTTTAAAATCCGGCTTTTAATAATAATTGTTCTTTATGTTATATCTTATAACATGCACGCACAGTCTTCTACTGCATACACTTATAAGTGTACGATGTATAAGCGTGGCTTCGGGTACTTTTTGCTTCTAGTATACTTCATAAACAATATCAAATTAAACACTTTATGGCAACCAATATCACACACTTCAAATAGCGCCAAATTCATTACGCGCTACTGTATAGAAGATGATATACTATAATTATATATAAGGCTCACTTACCCAGATTTTCTTTCATCAGCCGATCTTAGCGGTCGAAGCATCCATGTAGGAATACATCGAAAGCAGTATTTCAAAATCAAAGTTTGGATACACGAATTGTACTTGACACCATCTTGAATTGGTATTTAAAGTAAAAAGTCATAAACAATAATTGTTTAAACTAAGCCGAACAAAGGAAGCTTTGTCGAACGAACCCAAAAGCATATTGCCTTCGTTTGGATATTGTCTATGTGATCTATGCCAAGATTCTGTCTTTATATGCATGTAATTCATCCTGTAACCCGGAATTGCTGCCGAAATCATTTAAAAATTGCTGAATCTTCTCTTTTAAGCCGTAATCAAAATCTTACTTTCCTTCTTCTATTGTTGAGAGCTTGGCCTGGGTCAAACGTCGCGCTATAACTATTCATGCACGCCAAACGGGATTAACTACAAAAGATGAGTGACTGAGTTGTCTCATTCATGATCTATTGTTCACTCATAAATGCTTTGAAATGAGTCGGACGCTTTCGTTGGGAATTTGAATGCATGATTACAACAGGGGTCTCTTTTTAACTTAGTTAACTGTAGTTCAGTAGGGGCAGAGTTAGCTGATAGCAGAGTTGTGAATTTCGGAGTTGACCAGTTACACTAAGGGTTTTTTTTTTTTTTTTTTTTCGCGGGAAATTACTTGGAATACTAAAATTTGTCAACTGAGGGTCATGCCGAATGACGGTACTGCCGAATGCCGATACAGCCGAATGACATGCAGTGTTGCGAGATAACGTTGGAATTGCCGAAGGACGACGGTTTTGCCGACTGATAATGCAACACAATAGCATAATGGTGTTTTGGAACGATAAAATGACACAATGCAACAGCATAATTGCATTTACTCATTTTGGCGGTAATCACCCCTCATATTATACAACCGCCCCCTGTGCATTAATCATGACCATTGAAATGCTGTCATGCATTCATCGGCGCAGGTAACACGATCGAAATTATCGCAAAGCAACAAAGCAAAAACAATTACGAGGAGCCACTTCGCCATTATATACACAGACGCTTAAATATATATGTATGCTAGCTGGCCAACGAAATAACAAATTACACAAAGCCGTCTCTAAGAAGACGTATTTAAATATTAAAACATAAGCATGTTGTGGCGAGATATATCGTTTTGCTTTAGAAAGCATTTTTAGATGCATGGTCCGAAGACTTTCCGATCTCATGAAGTCGTAGAACCGGAGTTATCATTGCATTGAACATATTAATCGTCAAGCACTCGCTCTATTTTAATGCTAGCACTTTTAATTCATACACTTACTGAGGTTCGCAACAGGTGGGAAGTTTGTTTGAGGCGAGTAATCTTGCATCGTAAAATATTTGAATGACGAAAATTCAGACCCCTATCATAAAAAGACCCCAATCAAATTAATATGGTATACAACAATTAACAACTGCCTAAAAAATCGTCGTCATTATAGGGTATAATAGTTCATACAATCGTAGTTCATGCAATAATTCATACAATAAATTATACCCCACAATGACGAAGATTTTTCAGGCATTTCTTAACTGTTGTATACTGCATATTGGAAATACTACAAAATTTTAGCCATTGCAAGCACACAACATATAGTAAGCTAAACTGCATTAAGACCTAAGTCAAGGTCTGCAGGTTAATATAATCTTTTTTTACCAAGGTAACTGTAATAAAAAATGCTATGGCTATCAAAAACAATGCCAGAATTAAGACCATCACTGGAACTCCTGGAAGGGTCTTCCTGAGTAACGATGCATGTATTTTAATAGTTAGAGATTCACTTTGCATCGGCCCGGTCCTATGTCTATCAGTAAATTAAGGATCTTTCCATTCATCGCAAAGCTATGCCAACTCGCAAACTCGCTGCGAGTGTTTGCATCGAATTAACATAAGCTGCATGTCAAGCATGGTAGTTGGACAAAATTTCTCGCAGTGAGCTTGTAAGTTTTTGCGACGAGTGAGTGAGAGCCTTCAGAGTTGTGTATTAATAGCGACGCTCTGCGGTATTCTGGCTCTTCGGAAGTTCGGTATTTCCGGCTTCGTTTCTATCCATTAATTATTGTATGATGAGATCAGTGCCACCGCCACGGCCTCTTTAATGTTACATTCTTTCACAGATTCTTTCGAGACGGTTTATACTGAGTATTGCATTGCTATCTTAATTAGTGAAGCTGAAATTCTGATAAATCTGCGACGCAATTTCAACAGGAGCTGGTGCAAAACAAGTGCATAATTATAATGCCTCTTTCGTAATATTAACTATAATATTTTTTCAATCATAATTGTATGGCGTCGGATTTATATTAGTCGCAGTGATTCAAAGTATATATAATAAACAACACAGCACGACGTGATTAACTTTAATTTGCCATTCATATAGCCGATAGATTTGGACTTATCGCCGAGCTTAAACGAAACCACGAATTATTATGACCTTAGTTTCGAAACAGCTTGAGGAGATTATAAAATAAGCGAACAGGCGCGAGTGCTATCATTTACAGTTGAATTACGGGTGTGTGCTGGTCAAATCTGAAGACACCGGATTTCAATGCTAAGTCGTTAAAATTGTAAGGTATGTATATAACAATATGAAGGCTGATAAATTACATTAAAAATATCAGGTGACAAATGTTTCGATTGCAGAGTTCATGCAAAATATATGTGTTCATCATATGTGTGCAAAATATTTCAAATATCGTATACCATTTAATAAAAATAAAATTCCATACCAATCAGTAGAAAAGCTGTGGAAATTTTAGGCATCTTTTTCTGTCATTTCCTTTTAGATCTTTAAACTGAATTCTATAAAATCACATGCACGAAAGTTTAATAAGGAATTATTCCCGGCAAGCACGGAATGTGGAGTTATACTCGAGTATTGTGATACTATTGTGAAATATTTGCAATTTTCTCGTAAATCGGCATGTCGAAGTTCGTAGGGTAATATTTCACTGATATGTCAACTCGTGCATTTTTAGTTTAAGAGGAGATTTTTTATTATGTCGCGTATTTCGGCGGGAAAACGCTCAAAACCTAAAATCTTTTCGGCGTACCGCTCAAAATTAATCTATTTTACCTTTATTCTTTAGATTATGTTGTGAACTAAGTTTTGAACTGTATATGGTTAATGCAAAACACCAAAAAAAGGAGTTATTATAAAACATTATGCGGCTATCAACAATGTTATAATGTCAACGCCATTATAACTGAGATGAATACAAAAGAAGCTTCGATGCAAGTGTCATTTTCTTCTCGGCGTATCCCGAGAAATCTTTTCATTTTCAGAATATTTTGAGATTATACAGTAAACATACTTAGTGGATGCTTTTCAGGTTTGCAAAACGTTTCTAATGCTGAAAATTTTAGTGCTGTTGCATGAAGATATAACCGCAGTTTTGAGCATATCATTACGCGACATAGAAAAATATCTCCTCTTAAATTTAAAAAACGTACAGCATTCAACGTGATAAATCGCTAGAACTTTGGCTTGCAAAAGCGGAAATAATATGCTCATTAAAAAATTTACCTTAAAAATATTAAATTTGGATTATTTCACCAGAACCATGAAGGGATACCTGACCATTTTTGTCGTTTCGTTTGTCGTGGCCGATTGTCAATGTTGGTACATGGTAGACGCTGCACCACATGCACAAGGTTAGTATTTAGTAGTGAACGTGTGCGTCAGCTATAGGAGTGAACATCCATTCCATTTAGATAATTAAATGTTATTGATCCCTTCTATAACGTTGTACCCAAATTTCGGCACAGAGCGATATTGCCAGTTCTACTTTAAAGAAATCAAGAAACCAAGTGCTTTGCGTTGGATCATGTAATAAGCTATATGCTTTTTTGCAATCCTGTTAATTGAAGGATTTTTGTCGATAAATGTTGTCTATTTTTTTTTTCGCAGGAAATAAGAGAGAAAAGCGCGGTTTCAAATCGTATTTTGAAAACTACTTCGATGAAATGGCAACTAGTGCTTGTGTTGCAATGGGAAAATACAATAGCTTGTACTTTGCAGTCCGTCGAACTTGTAGCAGCAAATCCAAAGAAACCTGTTATAGTGTCTGTACTTCGTACAAAGTGAGAAAGGAAGCCCAAATCTGGAATCCTAAAACGTGAGAATGAGTAAAACAACAGTAAATCAATAAAGCATTAATTCCTAATAACGAATAAATTTGTAAATAATATTTGGAATATTATTCGCCATATTGGACTTTCATACACACGCGTAGTCTGGTTGTAAACAGAGCATGTGGTATCTTTGAATTAAATCGAGGCCTTTCAAGCTGGATTTATCTTGTAATTATTTTATTTTTCGATTATTTTGTCTTGTTTGTGCTTATATGCTTGAATTTGAAGTCTTGTGCTTATATATGATTGAGCTTTCGACTACATTGCTGTTTTTATTTTAAATCAGTTTCTTTTTAATCATCTATATATGGTGTTATTTTTTTTAATTGATACAATTCGATGACTATATTTTATATCAAAATTATACTCATATGTTAATATTATATTCTTGGCTGTTTTTCTAGGCTGCTTAATACAAGGTGTGTGGATTCATTACATGTTTACAAGGATCGCCCATCGCTGGCTGACAATAAGTTGGCTAATACAGATGTGAACAAAGTGGGCTTGGCAATTTTTCGTTACCATTCTTGCCATAGTAGTGGTTGCGGTCCTAACTACTGCTGCTGTTCAGGGCTTCCGTAGCTAAATAAAACGACCTACTTTAAACGATGTTAGAGTGTAAGCGCTTAAGTTCCCTTGCTCTATTGAAGACGTGTTGTAATAAAAATTCAAATGATTGTGAGTTTATCAATCCTAGTTTTATTATATACAAGTGTTATCTATACTGTAGTCTGTATAATATAGTCTGGTCGCGAACGTATTTTACGCCTGCGTATAGAAGCACGGAAAAACGTTATTATTTTTTGTTTCCATCATTGCATGTACAATACTGTCCAGAAATAACCTAACACTGCGGTTGCGGTTTGGTTGCGGTTAGGTTGCGGTCGACCCATAGAAACCGCAGACGACCGCAAAAAAAAGAGTCGCGGTTGGCGTTCGGTTCCGAACGGAATGTTACGAACAGCTGAGAACGATAACACAATAATCATAACGAAAACATCTTAAGAAATGTCTGTCAGACCGAGTGAAGCCGAGGTTAAAGCTCCGTATCACAGCGGTTAGACCCAACTCGTAGCCAAAGCCTTCTCGTAGGAGGGGGGGGGGAGGCGGCTACGAGTATTGAGCACGACAAGCTCCGTATCACGGCGGTTAGACCCAACTCGTAGCCAGGGCCTTCTCGTAGGAGGGGGGGGGGGGCTACGAGTATTGAGCACGACAAGCTCCGTATCACGGCGGTTAGACCCAACTCGTAGCCAGGGCCTTCTCGTAGGGGGGGGGAGGCTAGGAGTATTGAGCACGACAAGTACTGGAGGATTCGGATACTAAGTTGGCCGAATACCCTATTGGAGTCACCTGGGGAGGCTTTTCTAGGACCCTCTCCTCCCACCTACAAGACCCTGGGTACGAGGTTGAGTCAAACCGCCGTGAGACGGAGGTTCAACGGCGAACAGACCGAAGTTTGACTTAGGTTAACCGTGGTTTTTATTAGGTTATTTCTGGACAGTACTGTATACCATAAGCGGTTTACTATTTTACATACCCTCAGAAGAGAAAATTGGCCTGAGGATGAAATACGCTTGCTTATTCCTAGCTTTTTGATAATCGGAATCGTTCACAACATTCTCCCTAAGAGAAGATTCAATGGTATATTTTTGGTAAAGTGTTAGAGATATTGATTAGCCGGGTGCCGTCTAGTAAACAAAAACAGAGAACAGAGTTCATCGATTTGTATGTGTGCTATAAATTTACCATTTTACACACAGTCACATACCAGTGTGTTTCTTTTTAACAGATAGTTAGCGTTAAGGATGAAATCCATTTGCTCGTCGTAGGATTTCTCTGATAGTCACAAGAGAGGAATTGTTTATTAGAAAACGACCGTAAGACATTAGAATACAATATTAAGAAAACATGTGTTATTATTAAAAAAGTGCAGACTTTCACATCAGCTTATATAGGCTGATGACATACATCGGTTCAATACGATACAATGACTATTGTGAATTTCAAAACTGACCCAGTAGCTTGTCCTACAACTTATGAAAGGTGTTTTTATTTTTCAACTGAGAAAGCCTGCTTACTTGATCATTATGTTTATTCGCATATTCATCACGTACCCGGTTTAGTTGGCTGTGTGATGTGAATTGAGCCCTTATAAACCAATAGAACCAACATGTGAAAGTGGACAAATCTGTTCTGCGCATCGGTTAAGCTTGCTCATAACAATGTTTGAATTTTGCCGAAATTCCGCACATTTTCATTTCCTCTCATAAGAAAAAAAGTTAGTAGCTATACTGATTTAAAGCATAGTGCACCTAAATGTTGTTAGTATAAACTGACTAATAGGCTATCACTTTTCCTGCGTTCTGATTGGCTACGCTACTGGTAGGCTATTAGTGATAGCCTACTAGTAGCAAAATTCAAAACAATGGCGGAAAATTCGCGTTTCGCCGAAGTATCTGAAGATTTTTTGGACGACTTGTTGGACAATTCCGTACCAGAAAAAACAAAAAAAGCAACAAAATACGGAATTGCAATTTTTAAGGGTAAGAAAATACATAAAAATAACGTATACTCAATTGAATTTTTATATTTAAACTGAATTTTAAAACATTTTACGCGAACAACAATTAAAATATTTTCTTCCTTTAATATACGAAATAAATTTCAGAATGGTTTGCAAGCCAACAAGAATTTTATATTGTGTTTCCTAGTTGTAAATTAATGTTATAGTTTATACTAAAACAATTAGACAACTCGGCCTCGTTGTCTATGAGCAAATAGTCAACTCGGCTTCGCCTCGTTGACTATTCGCTCATAGACAACTCGGACTCGTTGTCTAATTGTTAATTAGATATTCAGACAACACAACGTATTTCAAAAAGTGTAAAAGTTCAAAATTAAAAAAAAACGTTTGTTTACATACGGACTTGATCAACACATTAATTGTTAAGGTAATCAACCTATAAAATGAAATCCCTAAAATAAAAAATCTAAACCCCTGATAGCTCAGAAAAAAATTAAACTTCTTCTTCTAATCTTTTGCAACATGTTTCAGTTACTTTGTCTTGTTCGTCTTGACACGTCCGAAGATAACCATATCACCAGGAATGTACACCTCTTCCAGTTGAAAAACATCCATGTTCGGAAAAAGAACCTGCGTAATGGCGAATGTTGAAATATCTCTGAAATTGAAATCTAATTTTTTAAGGTAACTTCGAAGTTGCGCCTCGATTTTTCTTTTGGCTCGTCGTAATGAGGTACCACTGTTCCAAAATATATCCCATCCTGACACGGAATCCGAGTGAACATTCACCGTCGCTGACTCGCCTGTATACGTAATGGTCTGGGCCTGATCGATATTTGGCTTGTAGTACTTGACGAAGTTCACATCAAAGTTTTTTGTCTTTTTTCTTTCTTCGTTCCAGCAATGATACGCAACATGTCCGGCGCATTTTTCTACATAATATGGTATCCTTATTGGCTGGTTTTCTACTTCCCAAGTCACTTTAATCTTCTTTCCTCTATTACTTGATCGAACTTTGAATTTTCTTGCACTAATCGACACGTCAACTTTTCCTGCTTTTGCGAACAATCTAAAATGGTACTTCGCGTCCTGAACTCCGACGACATACTGGGATTGCTGGCTCTCGGTCATACCTGGGAAATTTTTCGTCTGCACATCAAATGATAACTTTTTCCTGATGTCTTTCACCATGATGTCACCGAAGATGATTTTGTTGTTTATAAATAAAACTACTTCGTAACCATTCGGAATGACTTGTCGGTCGATCGTAATGGGATCGTTAAAATCCCTCGGTGTCGCACCTGTCGCCGAGGAGCTGGTGAAATGTGTGCGGAAGAAAATATAGAGACTCCCATCACCTGAGCCGTCTGGTTTAAAGCCGCCTAAAAAATTATCGAAATGTTAGTGCCTCGTCTTCTGGCGTCTCACGCTCAGAATCAGTATGGTGAATGGGGCAAAAGCAGGGCGCTTATATATAAGCCCTGATTGGCTGTTGAAAGTTCGGAAAATCACGAAGGCCAAACCAATGAAGAAAAAATGTCTTCGTGATCTCTAGAATTTGCCTACGATTTTTCCGATCATGACGTTTGTCGAGTAAATTGCATCCCGCCTCTGTTTAGCAAAAATTTCGATAAAAATACACTTTTTATAATTTCCAAAATGGAAGTATTTTTAAGTTGTTTTTAAGTCTAAAAATGACTGATAAATTTAGTAAACATATCCAAGGTATTTTGTATCCAGATTTTTTTTTCATGAAACTAGGGTAATTTTTGTGTTTCAGGCGATGGTATATATTAATGTATGCATTATAATTCTTGTCAGAAAGTTGCCAGCCTTAGGATAATTATATACATAAGATATGTATGTGGTACCCGCATTGACCAGGCTGCCTATGATCTGATGGTATTGAATTACACTGGCAACGATACACATATTTCGAGATTCCACAGTCATTAACATAACTGCATCTCGAACTAACTTTTTCTTTTAGCGCGCAAATGGCGGGAAAAGAATGAGCGGAAACCGATATTAGCGGAGAGTTTAAGACCTACGACACACAAGCAAAGTAACTATTAACGTGAGGCCAAAACTATGAGCCGAAACTGAAACTTTCGTGTCGAAAATGAAACCTCGTCGCCCGATCTATCGCTTCGTATAGATCTTAATCTCTCCATTTTGATTGTAAAAACATCCTATTTAACTATCACATCACCTGTAGCTAGGTAGAAACGATCAGGTACAAGGGAACGAGGCGTGAGAGTGTCTTCGTACGTGATTCGAGCAACTTCGAAATCGCTGGAATTTAAACGTTTGGCGAAGAAGGCTCTAATTTCGGTTTCGATTTTTGATTCAGTTAAATCACCATTTACTAAATGAGGAACGTTAACAATTGCGGTGGACAAATCCAGGACCACTAATGACTCCTTAGTCAATCTCCCTTTTATTTGAGTTAGCCTAACAATAGCTCTTACTGCAGTATTTCTATTTACTGTCTGATTGAAGGCATCAAAAGCTTTTTTTTTAATTCGTCCCAGTATTTTTTTGAAGAAAGTGAATTCAACTTTCCCACTCTTTATCTTGAACGTCAGCGTAACCTCGTCATGATTATGTTGGATAAATTGAATTTTTGGCGGCCCAACCTACAGTAGTGAAAAGCAAGAACAGAAAAAAAAATACTTGGAATCGAGGATACTTGGAATAATCTAAAAGTAAGTCTGTAGGCTGCCATGTGAAAATAATATATTTTATGCAGGATTATCTAGAATTTTCAACGCCTCACTGATAGCTATCGGATTCGGATAGCTAACAATTATAACGAATATTTGGTCGAGAGAAATTTAGTCTTTGTACGTACCTCAAGAAAGCATCTTGCATACGTTATCATCTTAGGATAATCGGTAGCCACTGCCCTCTCTGTTACTATGCTCTTCACAAACCCAGCTTTAGTTTGACTGTCGTATTGTTGTTTCCAAATTTCGTTCACGCGTTTAGCGCTAACTGCCATTATTGCGTCCCAATTTCGAACTAAAGAGCGACCATTAATTCTTTGGAGAAGATCATGCTTGCTACCAGAAACATCACTTCTGCGGATTCTTCTTCGTCGACTGGATAATCGAGGAGGGTCAAAGATTGCGTTGATGTAAAACCTAATTCTTAGCGTTGTCAGTTCAGACGAGAAGCGAAGATCTTTATTTGTAGTGACGTTTGGAAGCCGAAAGACCCACTTGTCAAATGGTGTCATTTTAATGAATTTTGATTCGAAGTCAGATGATGGTTGCGAAGTGATAATTGCCTCTTTAGTAACTATATTGTAGGTAAAACGGTAACTTTTCGGCGCGGTAGTAAATGATATAGGATTACGGTCTAAGTCTCTGTCTTGGAAGGACTCGCCAGAAGCTGTGGCTTCTATGTAGGCTTCGTTGTTTGACACATTCGCGATGTTGTCAGCGCGCACTTCAACTCTCAGAATTCGCACACGAATATAATTCTGAAACTCTGCAGAACTCAATTTAATTTCTTTCTCGCAGCCATCAGAGGATAAAAGCTCTTGTACGCGAACCCCTGGGATATTGTACTCGATGGGTCGTTTAAGATCTTCTGGTGCAGAAGGAAACCTTTCCAAAATCGTAATACTTGATTGGACTTGTTTCGCAGCGGCTCTTTGGATAGACAAGGTATCGTAGCGTTTGATCACGGTTGGTTTCTGGAAGTAGTAGTATTGTAAGGCAGCGTCCATGAAGCCAAACGATTGAACGAGATATGTTCGAACTTGGTTCTCTCTCATTTTAATGATAGTTCCAATTTCAAAGAGGTCTGTTATATTTGCTGTATTGTCTGTGATATCCTTCTGGATCACTGTTGTTTTGAGGGCTCTTAGACGATCGCTTTGTCGTTTGGCAAGGTCTCTTTGCATTTCAAGGTTTATTTGTTTGTATTTCATGGCAGCAATATTTGCTGCAATGCTCAAGTATTTTCTGCCTCGTGCTGATAAACGTTTCGCAACACGTTGGAAGTCTAGTGCTTCTCTGTGAACCTGATCAGGAAGATAAGACGTATATGACATCACGTCTACATCAAAATCTTCCCACTCCAGATCGGTTGGAAAACTGTCCGCATCGACCTCAAAACTCGGTATATTTTCCATCGCCCTGTTTACTTTCCCAATATCATTCCTCAAATCTCTTCCGAGACTGTACATTTTATTCACTTGTTCTATAATGCCTATAGAAATTTCTACTTTCTTTGCCACTCGAACAATTCCTTCAATGTCCTTGGCTATGTTCAGAGCGCCAACTCCCCCGGTGAATAGAGATCCGACTACGTTAATAACACCAAACACGGCCGAAAAGATTTGCTCTGTTTTGTATTTTTCTATTGCCTCTTTTAAGGCAATACCGGCGTCTGTTACTTCCTTTTGTGTGTTAGTAATTTCCGTCCACAGAATCGCTGCCTGTTCTTGCTCACGACTTATTCTATCACTTTCTAGGTCATGCAGTTGTTGATTGGTGCCAGCAATGTCGTCTTGATATTGGGCGCCTACTTCGGTTTTCTGCACAAGGAATGAGCCAATTCTTTTGACGTTGTCGTTCAGTTCTTTCATTGTCTTTGTAGTTGTTTCGCGGGACTTATGATAAAATATTTCGGTCGAGATAGTTTGAAAGGTATTCTCGTACGCGGAAACTTCGGCTAACAGTTTATCGTAAAGTGGCTTATACACTGAAAAAGTTAGTTTAGGTACAAGCCGCTTAAACTGAGCATACTTATTTAATCTTGTCTTGCTTATCAATAGAGCCCTCCCCAATGCCATCTCCAAATCAGTGGGTAACTGAATAGTTCCGTTCGGTTTTTTCGTTGTGAGAAAATCGGTCATCCACTTTAAGCATTCTCTAGCCGTGTTCACAGAGTCGGTACTTGCACGAATAGCGAGGATGCTTTCAATCGTCGAGACTGATAGCTGAACACTGCTAACCAGACCTTCTTGTAACCACTTCATTTTGTTTAACGTATTTTCGGAAGAATATAACTCTGGCAGACTAATTCGATCAGGTTTGTAAAGCCTCTTGCTTTTATCTGTGCTGACGCTATATTGTCCGGAATGAAATGGGTGTTGTGAAATTTTATAAACTTCGTCGTTTGCATATGTGAAGTGTTCATTTGTTTTAGCTTGGGTGACTTTGAAAACTCCGCGCATGGTTTTTGCCACAATCTTGACAGTGGGTACAGTATTGTCATAAGCACCAACGACTATTTCCGGGACACTATTGTTCGATGATAGTGCAACCATCTCTCGACAAATAAGATAAATTTTCTGAGATCCTGGTAGCTTTATCATTGAGGCGCGAAGTTTTAGAACATCGGCGAAGATGAAAACGTGTGTTACAAAGGAAGGATTGAATATGAAAAAGTCGTTCAATACAAATGACATTCGCGTTATTGTGACATAGTTAGTTGCCGTTGAGGTGACGAGACTGGGATTAAAACTGTCGTAAAAGTCTTCAATTCCAGAGTCGATAATGGTGGGAAAGTTAGGTTGACTTTCTGGGCCAAATTTTTGGAAAACTGCCGCCGATAATACGTCGTTCCATACTTTCTGTGATCGCGAGTCACCTGGCAATAGTTTAGTGACCAAGGGTTTGAGATAGAGTTTTATCGGGATAATAGTTGTTAATTTTCTCGGTAGCAAGTACCCTCCATATTGAGCCACAAACATAAAGATACTTTCGGGAACTCTGAAGACATTATCTCGGAGCTGTGACGCGATATTTAGCCAAGCAGGGTCATTGCTAGCTGTTAGAACTTTGCCTGCTTCAAGACAAAATCCTACACCACTTTCTGTTTTTAGTTCAGTGTACATGCGATAGTAATATCCCCAATATCCAAAACCATAAGTGGGATTTTTATCAAAGGAAAATTTCAAGACTTTTTCCGCGTCGTTTTTATCGTAAACAAATACTTGATAGATGAGGTCTCCCATCTGGTAACCGGATACGTAATGGGTGCCGTACTCTGAAAATTTCTCAAGTATCTTATTGCTGCCAGAATTCAGGAAGACATTTGCTAGTGGGGATGTTGTGACGTCAACAGCCATGGTTGTGTTAAGTTTCTTCCAGTATCGGGCCAGCACGTACACTTTTCCCACGAGGTTTTCGGGAGATATTCCTAGAAGACTGGAATATTCGCTACTGTTGGTTTCTCCGTTGACATTTTGTCGATGAAGGAAGGGTCCCGCATAACGCTTTTCTTCTGAAAATTCCCACATGGAGAAGAAACCCTTTATCAAGTCATTTTCGTCTGCGTGGTAGGTTAACTGGATGAACGGACCAAATTGGGAATATGAGTTCTGGACTGTCTTCGTTTGGACATTTTGAAACAGGTTAGACCTTTGTACTGGGTAAAATATTTGGTTTAAGCTGTTAGCATTCGGGAACACTGGTTTTAGCCCGTCTAGAACGCTGAAAGACTTGCCAACTTCGAAGGCTGTGAGATAGAACAAAAATAAATGTGTCAATTTGTTTAAATGTGTAAGTTAATCATTACTAATTCTGGCGACATTTGACGTTTAATATAAACCGATTGCAATATTTCCATTAATTTTAGGAATCTCCGGTTTAAATAGTAGCTCTCGAAACAAAAGCAACGATAGCTACATGCAGTTTCTTGGAAACAGAAAATCCAAACCTATAGTTAAATAAAGTAATGAACTTGGCATGTGATAAAATAAACTAAGTCGCGAAGAATAATGCGCTCAACATGCACAAAAAATTAGACTCGTCATGATTAGGATCTAATATAAGTGCATGCTAGATAATGATGTGACATGATAAAAAAACCTTGGATGAAAAACCCTTGAATAAAAAAACGCGGTTTCTCCAAATTTAAAAAATAGACACTTTAGTGATCGAGTGTTTTCTCAACCCCCCAGATACTAGGCAATATTTTTGGTGTTTTGCTGATTTTGCAATTTACTGAACTTGTTTGTTACCTTGATAAGCGTGAATGATTGTCCACAAAACCACAAGAACTCTTAAAGGCATTGTCAATTCAAATGCTGCGACAGTCCTTCAGCAAATTAAATTCGTAGGCTGCAAAAAATCTTAAATTGCAGTAAATGAATGGTTGCATGATAAGCATTACCATGGAGAAATTCAGGACATTAATTATCATAATGCCAGGATTTCGCAATCAAAGATGGCTTCCTTGTTATTTCTGCCCGTCTTAAATCGAAGTCCGCAACTGCAATATGTAAGATAGAAGTTGCTTTAATTTCAAATTTTTTCTCTTGCCTAATATAATTCAATCATAACAAGGCAGCAATCTTTGATTAAGAAATCCTGCCATTATGAATTTTTATGATAATTAATGTCCTGAATTTCTGGTTATGGACTTTTCATTCAACTAATTTTATATATAGTATTTAAAACACGAGTAGGAGTGTTTTATGCGGTATAAAACGCGAGGCGCAGTCGAGCGGTTTATAGCGCATAAAACACGAGCTACGAGTGTTTTGAATAGCTTAAAATACGACATTAATATTCAATAGACGTTGCGACCAATCGGATTGAACATGAACTTTATATAAAGCCACATGTGTCTTTATATAAAACAGTGTCCTGATAGTGCTTTGTCGAGTATAAAAGCCTACTCACGTGTTTAAAAAGATTCATTGGATTGGTCAAAACGTCTATTGAATATTAATGAGTATTTTAAATCTATACAGTTATTGACAATATAAGAGAACATGCATGAAGTTTGGTGCTGCCGAGCGCCTGCGACCATCTAGGTTTTTCGCGTATTGTGGATTCGAAATATCGATTTGCGGATACGAATGAAAATTAATAAAAATCAAAAGAGTGAAGAGACAATGTGTGATTGATTGTGATGATCATTTAATGCTCAAAGTTTGGCT